GTCTGGATGATCCACTGGTGTAAGTGGGGTGTTAAAGTCTCCCACTACTATTGTGTTAATGTTGATTTTCCCCCTTTATGGCTGATAGCAATTGCCTTATCATGGAGGTGCTCCTATGTTGGGTGTATAAATAATTACAATTGTTGTGTCTTCTTACTAAATTGAACTCTTGATCATTAGTTTTTTTAATTATAGTCATTAGAGTGGATGGGGCAGTGGTGTTATCTCATTGTGATTTTGATTTCCATTTCCCTAATGACTAATTAATTAATGACTAATATTAATTAATTGAGATTGGGTGCAATCTCAAAAATGACAGAAAGAACTCTATTTGTTTCCAAGCAAACCATTGAATATCACAGTAATCCAAGTCTATGCCCCAAAGAAGCTGAAGTTAGCTGTTCTATGATGACCTGGAAGATCTTGTTGAACTAACACCAAAAAAGATGTCCTTTTCATCATAGGAAACTGGAATGCAAAATTGGGAAGTCAAGAGACACCTGGAGTAACAGGCAAGTTTGGCCTTGGAGTACAAAATGAAGCAGGGCAAAGGCTAACAGAGTTTTGCCAAGAGAATGCACTGGTCATAGCAAACACACAACAACACAAGAGATGACTCTACACATGGACATCATCAAATGGTCAATACCAAAGTCAGATTGATTATATTCTTTGCAGCCAAAGATGGAGAAGCTCTATACAGTCAGCAAAAACAAGACTGGGAGCTGACTGTGGCTCAGATCATAAATTCCTTATTGCCAAATTCAGACTTAAATTGAAGAAAGTAGAGAAAACCACTAGACCATTCAGGTATGACCTAAATCAAATCCCTCATGACTATACAGTGGAAGTGAGAAAAAGATTCAAGGGACTAGATGTGATAGACAGAGTGCCTGATGAACTATGGATGGAGGTTCATGACATTGTACAGGAGACAAGGATCAAGACCATCCCCAAGAAAAAGAAATGCAAAAAAGCAAAATGGCTATCTGAGGAGGCCTTACAAATAGCTGTGAAAGAAGAGAAACAAAAAGCAAAGGAGAAAAGGAAAGATATACCCACTTGAATGCAGAGTTCCAAAGAACAGCAAGGAGAGATAAGAAAGCCTTCCTTAGTGATGAATGCAAAATAGAGGAAAACAATAGAATGGGAAAGAGTACAGATCTCTTCAAGAAAATTAGAGATACCAAGGGAACAAATAAAGGACAGAAATGGTATGGATTTAACAGAAGCAGAAAATATTAAGAAGAGGTGGCAAGAATACACAGAAGAACTATACAAAAAAGATCTTCAAGACCCAGATAATCATGATGGTGTGATCATTCACCTAGAGCCAGATTTCCTGGAATGTGAAGTCAAATGGACCTTAGGAAGCATCACTACAAACCAAGCTAGTGGAGGTGATGGAATTCCAGTTGAGCCATTTCAAATCCTAAAAGATGATACTGTGAAAGTGCTGCACTCAATATGCCAGCAAATTTGGAAAACTCAGCAGTGGCCACAGGACTGGAAAAGTCAGTTTTCATTCCAATCCCAAATAAAGGCAAAGCCAAAGAATGCTCAAACTACTGCACAATTGCACTCATCTCACACTCTCGTAAAGTAATACTCAAAATTCTTCAAGCCAGGCTTCTACAATATATGAACCATGAACTTCCAGATGTTCAAGCTGGTTTTAGAAAAGGCAGAGGAACCAGAGATCAAATTGCCAACATCTGCTCGATAATCGAAAAAGCAAGAGAGTTCCATAAAAAACATCTATTTCTGCTTTATTGACTATGTCAAAGCCTTTGACTGTGTGGATCACCACAAACTTTGGAAAATTCTTAAAGAAATGGGGATACCAGACCACCTTAACCTGCCTGTTAAGAGGTATAAATCTGTATGCAGGTCAAGAAGCAACAGTTAGAACTGGACATGGAAAAAAGGATTGGTTCAAAATTGGGAAAGGAGTGTGTCAAGGCTGTATATTGTCACCCTGCTTATTTAACTTATAGGCAGAGTACGTCATGTGAAATTCCAGGCTGGATGAAGCACAAACTAGAATCAAGATTACTGGGAGAAATATCAACAACCTCAGATATTCAGATTACACCACCTTTATGGCAGAAAGTGAAGAGGAACTAAAGAGCTTGTTGATGAGGGTGAAAGAGGAGAGTGAAAAAGCTGGCTTAAAACTTGACATTTAGAAAACTAAGATCATGGCATCCAGTCCCGTCATTTCATGGCAAACAGATGGCAGAAAAATGGAAACAGTGACAGACTTTATTTTCTTGTGCTCCAAAATCACAGGATTTTTTTTCCATAGGGATGTGGCCAAGATGGTGGAGTGGGAAGGCTCTGAGCTCACCTCTCCCATTGACACACCAAAATTACTACTATTTACAGAGCAACTGTTGATAAGAATAACTTGAACACTAGCAGAAAAGATCTGAAGGAAATAACCACAGTGACACAGGTAGAAGAAGTGAAGACGTGATATAGTCAAGACCCATAGTCTTGTGGTAGGCAGCACACAAGTGGGAGGATAATTACTATTGCATAGGTTCTCCCCAAGAACAGAGGGGGAGTGAGTCCCACATCATGCTCCTCAGTCTGAGTCCAGTACCAGGAAGACAAGATCTTAGAGCATTTGGAGTCAGTGGGGCTTACTTTTGGGAGAGCCAGAGATCTGTAGAAAATAGAGACTCCACACTTAAAGGGTGAACACAAGATCTCATACACTCTGAGACCAAAGCCAAAAGCAATAATTTGAATGATGCCTGGGAGAGAGCCACTTGCTGATCTTGGAGAGAATTCCAAAGAGGTATGAGGCAACAGGGACCTCTCCTAGGGACACAGACACTGGCAACAACTATTTTGAAGGGCCCATTCTCAAAACAGATCACAGACATAACTGCAAAACTCTAAAACTCCTAGAAGATAACATAGAAAAAAACCCAGAGGACCATGGGTATGGTGATGACTTTTTAGATAAAGCATGAAAGATGACCCGTGAAAGAAATGTGATATGCTTGATGCCATTGAAGTTTAAAACTTCTCTGCAAAAGACCCTGTCAAGAGAATAAAACAAGCCACGGACTGGGAGAAAAATATTTGAAAAGGACACATCTCATAAAAGATTGCTATCCAAAATATAAAAAGTATGTACACTTTGGTGTTCATCCTTTGGGTGTAACGTCTATGTCTGTCTTTATTTATTTATTTATTCTGCATGTAGATGTTCAGTTGTTTCAGTATTATTTATTTAAAAGAGTATTTATGTTCAATTGTCTTTTTTTTTGCTCCTTTATCAAAGATTAGTCAATTATCTTTATGTAGGTCCATTTTTGGGCACTCTGTCTATTCCATTTATCTATTTGTTTATTCTTTCACTAATACCACACTATTTTGATTACTGTAGCTTCATGATATGTCTTCAATAGGGTAATGTCAGTCCTCCAACTTTCTCCCTTTCCTTCAATATTTTGTTGGCTGCTGCTAAGGCACTTCCGTTGTGTCTGACTCTTGGCGAAACTTTGAACTGTAATCCTGCCAGACTCCTCAGTTCATGGGATTCTTCAGGCAACAATACTGGAGAGGGCTGCTGTGCCTCCTCCAGGGGATCTGCTTGACCCATAGATCGAACCTGTGTCTCTTTACATCTCCTACTTTGGCAGGCAGCTTCTTTACCACTAGTGCCACCTGGGAAGCCCATTGTGTTGGCTATTCTGGGTCTTTTACCTTTCCATATAAATTTCAGAACCATTTTGTTGATGTCTACAATGTAACCTTCTGGGAAAATTGGATTTTTAAAATTGGGTTGTTTGTTTATTTATCTTAAGTTTTAAGATATCTACATCCTAAGTGCACTCTATCAGTTACATGACCTCAAAATATGTTTTCTATCTGTTGCTTGTCTTTCCAAACTCTGAACAGTATTTCTCATAGAGCTAAATTTTAAATTTTGATAAAATTCAATTTAAAGTCTTTTTTTTCCTTTTTAAATTGGATATCATACCTAAGAATTTTTTTTATAACTCAAAGTAATGAATATTTCTCATGTTTTCATTTATATCACTGGAATAGAACTAAGAGTCTAGAAGTAAACCCGTAAATCTATTCATGGACATACATCCCAAAGAGGTGAAAACAGGTGTGCCCACCACAGTAGGCACACCACAGTAGGCACAAGGGAGAAGTTACCCAAATGTCCGTCCACTGCTGAGTGGATACAAAACATGTGTGGTCTAGCCATACAGTGGAATACTATTCAGCCAGGAAAAGGAAAGAAGTGCTGACTTGTGCCACCACGGGCATGGGCCCTATGCTCAGTGACAGCAGCCAGACACAGAAGGCCACCTATTTATTGTATGCCTCCACCTCTAGGAAGTCGACAGAACAGGCCAAGGGCTGTGGACAGGAACCTGATGAGTGCTTGCCTGAGGACTACGGGGGTGCGGTGGGGGAAACTGCAGGAGGGGGCAGTGGGGAGTGAGTGCCTGGCCGGTACAGGGGTTTCTCTTTGTGGTGGTGCCAACATTCTAGACACAGTGGTGATGGTGGCCCAGCACCGCCAGTGTACACTTGGTGCCACTGGGTGGTCTGCTGCCTTCTCTGTACAAAGGTCTCCTCCCCTGGAAAGGGAGCGTTCTGACAAAGAGAGGGTCCAATGGGCAGGGTGAGCTGGGTCCTGCCAGCGCCATGTCTTTGCAGGCCCAGGCCTGCGGGGGTGGGGGTGGGGTGGGGGGCATGGGAAATCGGCAACCTCAGGGAGTCTGCCTGTCACAGACTGTGCACCCTGACCAATGAGGGGCCGGCCCACGGTTGCTCGGATACAGAGTCGAGGTCTGAGAGTACCAGCTGCCTTGAGAGGATGGGACCAGCTGACTCATCCTGCCTCATCTCACCCCACTGCATCTCATCTCACCGCATCACATCCTGGCGCATCTCATCCCACCGCACCTCATCCCACTGCACCGCAAAGCAAGGCCTCGGAGACAGCGGGCTCAACGGTCAGCATGCCAAGGAAAAGGGGCCGTCAAACGTCGTCTGGTCGCCACACAGCCCTAGACGAGCTGTCTTTCTCTGTGAGCCACATGGAGTGCTTCCTGTGGGAAGGCCACTACGCCCAGCGCCTGAGCTCTTCCCCACCCATCTTCCTAGCAGCCATCATGCAGCACCTGACTGCCAAGGTCCTGGAGCTGGCAGGCAATGAGGCCCAGAACAGCAGTCAGAGGCACATCACCCCAGAGCTGGTGGGCATGGCGGTCCACCACAATGCTCTGTTCAGCGGCTCTTTTGGGATGACAACCATCTCCCTGGTGGCCCCAGCCTGGCACTAGCTGCTCAACCACACCTGGGTCCTGAGTCACGGGTGCCAGGCTCTAGGACGGGCCTCCCCCCAGCTGTTGGGCGCCAGGCCTGCTCACTGACCGACCGCACAGCCCAGTGCCTCGGGCCCAGTCATGTCGAATCAATCAAAGTGTTTCAAGACATCCGTGTGTGTGCTTCAGTCACTTGGCCTGGGAGGTGGTGGTGGGATATCCCTCCTTGGAGAGGTGGGGGTCGGGGGTCTGGCTGGAGTGGAGGGGGAGTGTTGTGAGTACAGATGGGAGTCGGGGATTGCAGGCAGAGGGAGCAGTTGCCCACGGTGACAGCGCATGCGGTGGCCCTGGTGGGAGAGGCTGGCTGTGCTGGGGTTGCAGTGGAGTGGGGTCTGGGGGGGAGGCCGGGGAAAGAAGGCTCCCCCGTTGGCTCTGAGCAAGTAGGAGGCAGGCCAAGTCCCCAGAGGGACCGGGGTCCTCCTGGTAGTGACGCTCAAGATTGAGAGGGCGGCGTTGTTGTAGGGTGAAGGTGCCAAGGTGACCGACCACCCCGAGGCGTGGGATGCAGGGATAGTGGACAGCGTGCTTGACAGGGGTTCCCATGGGGGTAGGGCCTAGATGCCCATGGGAGCAAGAGCCTAGACTGTGGCGGGATGGTGTTGGGGTTGGCGGGACACAACCTGCAATTATGCAAAGTCAGAATCAGGGTCACGTGGGGTCACCAGTTGACTATTTGGTCGTGTGCCTTTAGAGATGCCAGGAGATGCCCTGCTTGGCAACCTGCAGGAGCAAGCTGTCATTTAGCAATGGAGGGCTCCGGGCCAGGGCCCATGCCACCACCCTTATTTTGCATATGTGACTTTCGAGGGACCAGGCTCTGCCTCCGGCCACTCGATTTGCATATCACCGTGGAAATGGAGCTTTAGCCTAGAAAGCTGGAGTAGTCATCATGTCTGAGACCCACGTTTTAAAATTAATGCTATTTCTTTATGCCTTAGGTAGCTTGGATTTGATTAGTAAGAAGCTTTATGCCGACTGCTGCTTCACTGATAAGGAACTAGCCTTTTACTGACCTTTAATTTCATTTTAAATAATGAGAACATAATACCTGCCCACCATTTCAGAATAATGGTAGAAGAATTAGAGGAAATTACATATATATTATATATATAATATACAACATAAAAGATCTTTTTAAAATATATGAAAACACATTGCTTACTCACTCAGTCATGTATGACTCTTTAGCGACTCCATGGACTATAGCCTGCCAGGCTCCTCTGTCCATGAAATTTCCCAGGCTAGAATACTGGAGTGGGTTGCCATTTCCTTCTCCAGGGGATCTTCCTGACCCAGGGATCTAATCTGCTTCTCTTGCATTGGTGGGCGGATTCTTTACCAGTGAGCCACCAGGGAAGCCCATATAAAAGTATACCTGTGCTAAAATAAAAACTTACTAAGTAGTAAGGTTAGTTCTGTATGCAGTCCATGGCACTGTGATATTTCTTTTTTGTTTTTTGTTTTCTTATATTATGCAATAAAATCAACCTCGTTTGGAGTCCAGTTCTATGAATTTAGCACATGTATACATGTGTGCATTCACTACCACATTCAGGACATGGAACAGCTCCACCAACCCAGCAAGTCCCTGGTCTGGTACAGCAGTCCCTGTTTAAGTGCTTGATTTTTGTAAAAAGAATGTTGGTGAAATACAGCCCTGGGTGGAGAGTTGGATGGGGAGCCAAAATTCAACAAAGACCACAAGGGAAAGCGAAATGGAGAAGTTTATTACTCATGAGTCCTGGAGGAGGTACGAAGCACGCCTGGAGGGCCACACAGGAGGTCAGGGCAGGGGCAGGCAGGGAGAAGGCAGCAGGGTCTGGGACTTACAGCTGTTCTTGGGGCGCACAGGTTAAGTGTTTCTGAGGTTCCCTGGATAAGGCCAAATTAGTCAATTCGAAACCAAATAAATAAAATAAAATAAATAAACCAGCAGAGTTTTGGTAAGCTCTGTGGGACTTCTATCTAACGGACCCACAAGAGGAAGGAGCTGGGAGGCAGAAGAGACTTAAATTGCCAGGGCCTTTGGGGAAGTCATTTCAGTTGCAATTTTTTATGACTCTGCTGGCTGTCATCCAGGGCATGCCCTTGAGGATAAATTTGTGTCCACCCAAGGCCCCTGCAGGCCCCTTAGCTACACAAAAAGAGCGTGATGTTATAGAGTACTTTAAACTCTCAATAGCTGTCAAACTCTTTCTTCAAACCTAGTCCTTGACAACCGCTGCTCTGGTCTCCTTCTCTTAAAAAACTACCTTTCTCATATGTCTTGTAAGTAGATTCATTAAGTCTGTCAGCTTTTGAGGCTGGCTGCTATCACTAAACATACTGCTTTTGAGGTTCATCAAGATTGTTGTGTGTATCAATATTTACGTTATATTGTTGAGTAGTATTCCATTGTGTGGATGTACCACAGTTTGTTTAACCCTCGGCCTATTGGAGGACATTTTGATTGTTTCCAGGTTTTTGGCAATATATGAACATTCATGGATAAGTTTTTATATGAACATAAAGTTTCATTTCTCTAAGGTATATACCCAGGAATTGCCCTACTGGATCATACAAAAAGGTTTTTCAGGTCTCTTCGCAATTAGCCTCATTCTCATGCCCTAGGGGCAACCATTGTTCTTCTGCTTTTTGCCACATGTTGATTTTGCCTATTTTAGAACTTCAAATAATGGAATCATACATGTAAGCACTTTCAGTGAAGCCTCTTTTGAGAGGCACTTATATTTGATGTGTGTACCTATGTTCATTCCTTTTTATCACCAAATGTTATATAGCTATATTAATAAACTGCTGTTGATTTATACATTCAACTGTTGATGAACATCTGGCTTCTTTTCAGTTCTTTATTATTATGAAAGAAGCTGCTATAAACATTTGTGTTCAAGTTACACAAGTAACTTGTGTACCAAGTTACTCTGAAACCACTTTCAAAGTATTTGTACCATATTATACTCCCACTATGTATGGGAGTTTTAGTTGTTCCATATCCTTGCCAAAATTTGATGTTTTCAACTGGTTAGTTTCAGTCATTTTGGTGGATATATAGTGATATCTCATTGTTGTCTTTAATTTGCAAATACATAATGAATAAAGATGTTGAGCATATTTTCTATTTTCCAATAAAGTGATTTCAAAATATCCAACATAACTATTATTTTTCTAATATTGAAATAACTATCTTAGCTTTCTTAGATCTTCTGTGTAGTACATATTTATATTTCATTTACTTTCAAACTTTCTTTGTCATCATGCTTATATAGCATGTCTTTTTGAATTTTTATTTTATTTTGATAAACTTTAAAATAAGATCTATTGCCTTAATACATTTGTCTGTGTGTTAGTCACTAAGTTGTGTCCAACTCTTAGCTACCGCCATGGACTGTAACCCGCCAGACTCCTCTGTCCATGGGATTCTCCAGGCAAGAATACTGGAGTGGGTTGCCATTCCTTTTTCCAGGGGATCTTCCCGATCCAGGGATCAAACCCAGGTCTCCTGCATTGCAGGTAGATTCTTTACCAGCTGAGCCATCAGGGAAGAATTATTACATTTTTTAGTGTACAATATATTATCATTGCCTGTAGATACAATGTTATACAGCAGATCTTGAATTAATTAATCTTGCTTATCTGAAACTGAATGAGCAATGAATAGTAACTTTCCATGTCCCCCTCCCAGCCAGTATTCTGGAAAAACAGTGTTCAGTTCAGTTCAGTCGTTCACTCGTGTCTGACTCTTTGCAACCCCATGGACTGCAGCACGCCAGGCTTCCCTGTCCATAACCAACTCCGGAGCTTACTCAAACTCATGTCCTTCTCTTTAAGAATTTTCCACAGTTTGTTGTGATCCACACAGTCAAAGGCTTTGGCATAGTCAATAAAGCAGAAGTATATGTTTTTCTGGAGCTCACTTGCTTTTTCAATGATTCAACGGATGTTGGAAATTTGATCTCTGGTTCCTCTGCCTTTTCTAAATCCAGCTTGAACATCTGGAAGTCCATGGTTGACATACTGTTGAAGTCTGGCATGGATAATTTTGAGCATTTACTTTGCTAGCATGTGAGATGAGTTCAATTGTGTGATAGTTTGAGCATTCTTTGGCATTGCCTTTCTTTGGGATTGGAATGAAAACTGACTTTTCCTGTCCTTGGCCACTGCTGAGTTTTCCAAATTTGCTAGCATATTGAGTGCAGCACTTTCACAGCATCATCTTTTAGGATTTGAAATAGCTCAACTGGAATTCCATCACTTCCACTAGCTTTGTTCATAGTGATGCTTCATAAGGCCCACTTAACTTCACATTCCAGGATGTCTGGCTCTAGGTGAGTAATCACACCATCATGATTATCTGGGTCTTGAAGATCTTTTTTCTATAGTTCTTCTGTGTATTCTTGCCACCTCTTCTTAATATTTTCTGCTTCTGCTAGGTCCATACATTTTTGTCCTTTATTGTGTCTATCTTTGTATGAAATGTTCCCTTGGTATCTCTAATTTTCTTGAAGAGATCTCTAGTCTTTCCCATTCTATTGTTTTCCTCTATTTCTTTGCATTGATCACTGAGGAAGGGTGTCTTATCTCTCCTTGCTATTCTTTGGAAGTTTGCATTCAAATGGGTATGTCTTTCCTTTTCGCCTTTGCCTTTAGCTTCTCTTTTTTTCTCAGCTATTTGTAAGGTCTCCTCAGGCAGCCATTTTCCTTTTTGCATTACTTTTTCTTGGGGATGGTCTTGATCTCTGCCTCCTGTACAATGTCACAAACCTCTGTCCATAGTTCTTCAGGCACTGTCTATCAGATATAATCCCTTGAATCTATTTGTCACTTCCACTTTGAAATCATAATGGATTTGATTTAGGTCATACCTGAATGGTCTAGTGGTTTTCTCTACTTTCTTCAATTTAAGTCTGAATTTGGCAATAAGGAGTTCATGATCTGAGACACAGTCAGCTCCTGGTCTT